ATATATATATATATATATATATAGGCCTGAGGCTAAACTCTAAAAAAAGATCAGGATCATAAGAAAAATATCTATGAATTAAATTGTCTTTAAAATGAGACAACTCATTTGTAAAATTGATGGCTCATCTGCATATATATTCACTTTTTTATACATGAGAGAAATGAAAGAGAAATGAAAGAGAAGACAGGTGTTTGTGCTGGGCTCAGGAAGCATAAATCTATGAATTTTACTCAATACTAAATCCAAATGAGAATAATGGATCTTATTTCACTTCCACCCACATGCAAAATACTGGTAGTCCCTGGGTTAAGAATGCCTGGTTTAAGCACGATCCATAGCTAAGAATGGAGCCTCCTGTAGCAAAATTTGAGTTAAATACACAATGGTTCGAGTTCATTATACAATACTACTTATATAGTATAATACAATGATACTGTTCTGGTTTACATACAAATTCGACTTAAGGACAGACCTTGGGAACAGAACTCATTCTTAAACTGGAGACTACCTGTACTCTAATTTCAAATTCTTCCTATTCAGTTTATAAAGAAATGTGTCCATTTTACTTTTATTTCATTTTTAAATTGTACCAGCATACTGTATTTCAGTGAAAAATCTTGCAGGTTCTGAGCACACAAACAAGGAGCTGGGAATTGCACACAACCCCAAGCTAGTCACCCTTGATTACATTTTATTAGATGTTCACACAAGGGGTTTTCACTTATTTTTCACTAATTCATTTATTTTTCCACTAGCTGCCTCCTATGTGCCTATAAGACAAACACACACCTTCAAATGTAAGAGTAATTATAACTAGAAAGTAAAAATAAAAATCTCCACACTCCTACATTCCTTTATTTACTAGTAGCTACTAAGCATCTATTTTGATTCTCTAAAGTTAGAGCATTAAAATGCACCAGCAGTCATTTTGGAAGACATGCATTATTTCAATAAGTATTTTCTAAACCAAGAGACTAAAGTGACAATTTAAAAACAGATTGAATTGTGCTTTCATGTTAACTACAAAGTTTCTCAACTCAACTATAATTCCCTCCATTTATTTATTTAGTGAAGAAATGTATATGGTCACCCATCTTAATATACCACCATTTTATGGTAAGAGGTATGAGACTGCCGGTTTCTAAACTGGCCCCTATTAATTCCTTGTTGTTGAGGGATAGAGTAAGATGAAATGATTTGAAACTGTGTCAAAAATACACTAGGGTTGTGTATGCTTTGAAAATGATTCAGAAATTGTATTTCACATCTTGCACAAATGCAAAGCAATAATAATAATAATCAGGCTGCTTTAATGAATAGCAGAGAGGTGTTGCACTCATGCAAGATCTGAAGTATATCTTCCAAATAATTGTTGAAATGTGTACACCCCTAAAACAAATACTGGCAACAATAAAGTACAGAAGAACAAGCTGTTCTCCAAAGCCAACAGCTTACTTTATGAAACAGCTTTTTCAACAATGAGTTAGACATTTTATTGCAGTCAAAAATTTGAAAGCCTGAAATATGAAAAATGAAAAATGGGCAGAACTTAACAGAAGAGCAATTGTTTTCATCCTTTTATATGTATCACTTCAATTTACTTTGTTCAGAGAATGCACAATAAAATACTATACAACACACAAAACCAGAAGCCTGTTATTCCAAAAATTATACAGGCTCAGTCAGAAGGCCTACCACCTTGATGTATGGCCTTTATTTATTTATTTGTTCAACTTATATGGCCACCCACCTTAAACATATGATTAATATAACTCTGGGCAGCTAACAGAAAATAAAAACAAGACTAAAAATCATAAAAATGGATAAATAACAAATATAGAGGCCCAGATAAAACCAACCAACCCCATCAATATCACCAAGTTCAACCACACAACCCAGACTCCAAACTCGGCAATAAAGCCAGGTTTTTAAAGCCTCATGAAAAGCAAGTAGAGTTGGGGCAAGGATAATCTCTGGGGGAATAATGTTCCAGAGGGCAGGTGCTAGAACATAAAAGGCTCTCCTCCCGGGACCTGCCAGATGGGACCCAGAGCATGCCTCTCCTGCTGGACCTCACAGGACAGGTAGATACAACTGGGGAAAGATGGTCCCACAAGTAACCTGTTCCTGTCCCATGAAGGGTTTTACAGGTCACTTCCAGCACCTTGAACTGAACCCAGAAGTATACTGGCAACCAATGAAGCTTGTGGAGCATAGGTGTCACATGCACCAAAGATGCCCATAACTGCCTGAGCCACTGTATTTTGTACCAGCTGAAGCTTCCAGATGCTCTTCAAGGGCAGCCCCATGTAGAATACATTGCAGTAGTCCAACTGAGAAGTGATCAGGGCATGAGTACAACAGCCTTTGCATTTAGGCACTTCCCTGAGGTATTAAAATTATTTCCATAAAATTAACAAATTCACCATAATTGCTTAAACACCATATCAACATAATATCTTACCATTAGCAAAGAAAACTTTTGCTTACTACTTTTATAAAGAAAAAAGGGAAACAAACTTTCTGCTGACAAGAACAGTACAGCTAATATGCCATACTCAAGAATGCTTTAGGGAAGAATCCTCTGTAGTGGAAAAATGACAAAGTGAAGAATGGAAAGATACAGTCAAAAGGTCTGCTTTTCAAAGAAAAAAAAGTAAATACGTTTCCAAGAATATGCTCAACCATTTAGGTATGCAAGCTTTCAAATCCAGGCCTAAATCATATCAATAATTTGGATAGTCAAATGAATTTTACTATAAGGTGGCTTTTCCTGTCCACTCCTCTTTCAAGTAATCTATTCAACAATGGAAATTCATGGAAGATTTTGGAGAGTGTGGTTGGGGGCTACCAGAAGAGTGGCTATTCAATTCTTTTCTAACACTTTTTCAGATTGAATCAGTAACTTTTTTGTCATCATATGCATATCACCGAAGTCCAGAACATGTTTATTTAGGACAAATGTTTAGAATTCAAGAACCAGTCTACAGCACTGGTATTTCTTGGAGGGTCTTCCACCCAAATACTACCCAGTCATAACTTCGCTTAACTGTGAAGTCCAGACTCCTACCCACTATCTACTAATATTTACCTGGGGCTAAACCCTACTGAGCCCAGTAGTAGTTTCAAGTAACTTTCGTAATTTTTTTGAGATCAGCCATGATTGACTAAGTGCTGCCCACCTGCTTTATTATAAATATAATAATTATGCTAACATATATTCACTTTATTAATAGTTATAATATATCACCCATCACATACACACAAAAAAGAGTAACTGCACTGATTTAATGTTGCTGTGTGAACACTGCCAATGTCTCCTCAATTCAGGAGTTTCACACTGGAGTCTACACATTTCAAAGAAAGGACAAATGAAGTCACATAAGCTTATTATACTCTTTCACGTGCCAGCTGGGTATGTTCTCAGATTTCATCTTTTTGATGACAAAAAATAAGGGAATGTGAGAGAAATAAGCATTATGCTTGGCAGACTGAGACTGTACTTTTGGACCAAGTAACTATAGTTATTTAGTATTCTGCAACATTTAAGTGTTCAGTAACGCTTGTTTAAGCAGCCCGTTGAATCAATAGCAATACTTCTAAACATGATGCGAGATCTACAATAACATGGGCTATTTTTAACATTACATTTCAATAATTTTCAAGTCCAAGCATTAGAAATGGAAAGTAGTGCTACAGAACAGTATTAGGACAGCTGAGGAAAGAAACAAGAATAGTTAATATCACATATGCAGGAGTACACTCTATTTTTTTACCCATACTTGATTATACTTCCTATCAAATTATTAATTACTTTGTGTTCACCAACTTTTACTGGGAAACACCGTTATAATAATGCCATGCTTTTGAGAGCTCAAAATGCTTCACTCACATCCCCTGGGTGTCAAGCCTGACCTCGTCTGCGTTCAGACGCCAAGCAGGGTCAGTCAGACCTAATTGGTTCTTGGATGAAAAACTTCCAGGGAGCACCAAGGCCATTGCCTTAATTTTCCAGAGGAAGACAATGGAAAACCATTTTCTGCACTATCACCAAGAGAACTTCACGGACTCCATGAAGCCACCAAGAGTCAAAAGGTGGCTTTACTCGAACACGGCGGAGGGTCTGGGACCACGTGACTCACTGAATCTAAGACCTCTTGCGCCCGTCTACGACTCTCCCCCCCGCCCTAATGATAGTAGGCATGCGCCGTGTCGCAAGGGGAGGATCGGTCTCCGCTGTTCGTCACAAAGAATATCAGCGGGGCTTCGCCGACTGTTAACCACCCTCCCCTAACTTACAATAATAAGCTACCACAGGTTCACGCTTGTCGAGCTCCTGCGCGGTTCTCAAGAAGTGCTGAATGGGTTTGAACTGTGGGGGCAGCGGTGGAAGGCCCAAGGCAGCCATGGCACTATAGATTCACTTCAAGGCAGCCAGCTCAGTAAGTGAAGCAGCCGCCGCCGCCGCCGCCACTACTACCACTCCTCCTATTGACTACTACTCAAACTCTTCCGCTTCCGGGGCGGGAACTGAAGAATGGGTTCCGACCAGCTCATTTTAAGCGCGCATGCGGACTAGGGCATATGCGCGTGCAGTGGCATCTGGTGCGCGGATGCGGGCGGAGCGAACAAAGAAGCTGTGCTTTCTATGGTTTTGCCGTGAGACGTCCGGTTTCTTTTAGGAAATGGGAACCCTCCATTTGCGGGTAAAGAGAGGTGGATAGGCAGAAGCAGGAACATAAAATCAAGCGATCTTCTAGGGAAAAAAAGTCTGGTAGGAGTTTAAAAAGGGATTCTTATTTTTTTTAGGCAGGCAGGGTTCACAACATTTTCTGGCAGAAATAATTATTTTGCTAGGTATGCGCTGATGGAAAGGCTTCCTTTTTTCTCTATAAGCTCTCCTATCTTGTTCTTATTTTTGTTTTCATGGGGGGAAATTTCTTAATTAAGTTACTGGATCTCAGCATTGTTGTAAGACAGACACAAAACATCTTTCACAACTGTACATTACATCTAGAAATATCATTAATTCAGTTATTCTTTATTAGCAGTGAAATGCCCTTAACCTTCATGATTTTCTTTAAATTTGTCATTGTCTTTCTTCCTAGGATTAATCTTTACTCTTCTGCAGCACATTGTTCATCTTCATCTAATCTTGAACCCAAGAATACGAAAATGTCTATGACTTTCACTGTTTTGCCATCTACTCTAAGTTCACTAAGCATGCAAGTTCCCATTATCTTTGTATTCTTAAGGTTAGAATTACCTTGGAATTTTCACTTTCCATTTTACTTCCTTAATTAGCTGTCCTATGTCTTCTTTATTTTTGGCTAACAATGTGCTTTTATCTCCCTGTAATCAAATTGTTAGTGTTTCTGCCTCCAATTTTGAGCCCAGCTCTCATCTCCATAAATCCTGGCATGCTTATTGATTGATTGATTATGTGCCATCAAAATTGAATTCTAGCAACCACATACTGTAGATAGATTTTCTCTATGATGATCTATCCCTAACCTGGTCTTTCAGGTCTTCCAACAGTGCATTCATTGCCACATTGCTGTTGGTCGTGCTCTCCTTCTCTTTCCTTCCACCTTTCCCAGCGTTAGAGCCTTGTCCAGAGAGCTGGGTCTTCACATAATGTCTCCAAAATAGAATAATTTGAGCCTGGTCATTTGTGACTTGAGTGAGAGCTCTGGGTTGGCTTGTTTTATGATCCATATGTTTGTTTTCTTGGCTGTCCATGGTATTCTCAGGAGTCTTCTCCAACACCAAAGTTCAAAAGCGTCAATACTCTTCCTATTTGTTGTTGTTTAGTCGTTAAGTCGTGTCCGACTCTTCATGACCCCATGAACCATATTG